AGTAAATCCCACTTCTTTCTCTCTTTAGCCCTCTTTTTCTTAACAATTAGCCCTTTATACTCCCGCTTCAGGCGGTAATAGTACTCTGGTGGGCATTTGTCCCCTCGGTTATGGTAAAGCAAGTAAGCCCGGTTAATCTGGTTCCTAAGCATCAGACATTCTTTATCAAACCAGGAATTGCTTCTTAAGTGATATGGATCCTTTGGCCTACAATCAGCTCCAAACTCCCTTTGAACACTATTAATTAGTGATTCAAAGGCCAAGATTTTCTCTGAGCCACTACTTGTTAGAACCTGATTATAAAGGCTAAGACATTCCGGAGATGATAAAAAGGAGTGGAACTTTCTTTCGGTATTAGAAGACCATTTGATCCTCTTTATATAGAAGGCCGCATGGGGATCCAATATCTGGGGGCCTTTAGATAAGTATATATTTGAGGAAAGCTCAATAATTGTAAACAGGGGGTAATGATCACTCTCTGTGCGGCAGTCCACATGGAAAGCATGGACTGGCTTTCTTAGTAACTGAGAAACCAGCACAAAATCAATAATGCTACTCTCACATGAGGAACTAAAAATAAACTCACTGACTAGATTGCCTGGCGTACTCCTGTTAAGGATTATCTTGTCATTTTGGGATGCTAAAAGTGTTAACTGAATACCAGCAAAATTTGTTAGTTCATCCTTAGAATGTCTAGCTGAAATCTGATGACCTATTGCCTGAAGGATTTCTTGGGAGTAAAGTGCCTCAATCGATGGAGGAATTTGGATTCCCAGTCGGGCATTAAAGTCACCCCCTGTAAAGGTGTATAGCCCTGGAAATTTAGTTTCAATACAAGTAATATAGTTCTCCAGTTCATCCCATTGAGCTTTAATGTTGGCTTGTCTCACCGTCAGAGGAAGGCAGACGTTAAACACTAGCAATTTGCTGCATCCTCTCTTAATTAGGAGCGCCATAGCTAAAGAGCCACAGGGGGGCAGCTCCACTGTCTCCACCTTTAAAGAGGTAGAGACCAAACAAGCCAAGCCACTCTTGGGTCTTCCCGTCGCCGATTGTTTGATGGCGGCCAAGGAAATGGCCGTAAACCCTGTAAGGGATATCTTATCACATGCCCAAGTCTCCTGAAACAGAACCATGTCAAATGCCTGAATATAGTTGGTAAATTCTATAGTACCACACCTTCTCCCCCAACCTGCTATGTTCCATGAAAGATATTTAAGAGTACAGAGGGGGGTTGCCAAATTTGATAGTCATTCTATATAACTGATTTTTTCAAGGGAGCCCTTCTGGTCCAAAAAGATACACCTGTTATTAAAATGCAGTGTCATCCTCATGGGAGATAAAGGTAGGGAAGGGGGGAAGGGAGGCGAACCTTGTTCATGGGGCTGTAGAACTCTAAACGCACTCCAGTTCGTACTTGTAGCATTAGTTGGATGCTTGGCTGGCAAGCATTCAGTGGCATCAGCAGACGGGGTCTGAGGGAGCCCAAGATCTTCATATTGACGAGTTAGACATCCTGGAAAAAGGGCCAGGGGAACTTCCACTGATGAATCGGTATGGGCTCCCTGGAATCCAGGGAAATCCTTATCAGGTGGTGAGAGACTCCAAAGCTTGGCTTTAACTGCAGCCAGACGCTTAATAATTTGGGCCCTTTCTGAATGTGGGAGCGCACGAAAGGAGTCGAAGAGCTGTATCTCCTTCTGGTTCCAGAAATTATCTTGCGATAAATCAGTCACATGAATAGATGGAATCCCAGAGTCACTGGCCTGGGGTTTATTCGCTAAGAAGCCTTGAATACCTTGGGCTGATGTCGCTTCCTTTGAGGCCATTTCTTCCCAGCTGATCAAGTCAAGGCAAGGATCCTGATGAGATGTTACTCACTGAAGGGGGTTGGTTTGATTGACAGTAGGAAGATCAGTCAAAACCCCATCAGAGAGGGCACCATTTTACAAGCATAGATGTATATTTAGTAGATGGACTAACATCAGAGGTGACGTTCAAGGTTGGCACATTAACATGTGCTACTGAAGATCTTTTAGGGGGAGTAAATCTCCTAACACTCACAGGTGGTCGATTATTTAAAAGAGGCTTAGTCGACATATCTTTGAAGACTCTTCTTGGCAAAATGCCAAAAGACCTTAGTAGAGATCTTCTCCTGAAGAATAGTTTGGGTGTGTTAGAATTGTCAAAACTAAGTAACATTCGAGTGCAGTATATAGAGGGTAAAAATTCAACCTTCTTCAAATCATCAGCTTCCAACCCCAATAGCTATAGTAAATGACCCCTTGCCAGCCATACTGAGCCCCAGCGCGGCAAGTAGCCGTTAATAGGATTGATATTTAGGGCCACTAGTTTTGGCTGTAAAACCAGGTGACTGTTTGCATCTAGAGAAATAGAGTTCGAACTGTTGATAGGGTTACATTGAGCAGATCTTTTGCTGAGGCTTGACAAGGGAGGCCCTGCTACCGCATCAGGATGCCGAGTGACCGGCCCAGCACTACCACTGGAAACCCAAGAAACTAAATAATTTAGGGTACTTATTATTTTATCAAGTTGGAGCTGTATGCTCGCTGTTGTATCTGCAACCAGGAAACATTGCTGAGCCAGAAGTTCTGTAAGGGTGAGCTCGTTTAAAGATCGATTGGGGACCGTAGCTTTAGGGAAGCCTTTGTTCTCAACTTGAGGGGCGACACCCTCAACCATCGAAGGATCGCCATGACCAGCAGCATCCAGAAAAAAAAGAGCTGGAGTTTTCAAACAAAGAGGCCGAGCCAAAACAAAGTCTTCCATCTTGGATTGCTTCAAAGAAAATTGAGGAACCAGGTCAGTAAGGGATCTGCACCTTTTCTTTCACTTCATTGTGTTAAATAACACAATAAAGGAGGAGCAGTGTAATATAACAAGAGACTAATCCCCAAGACAAGTCCTGGATCCAAAAAAAGAAGCCAAGGGCCAAGAGTCAAGAAAAAGCAAGTCCTGATGCAAACAATAACAAGGCTCCTCACAAGTAAGGCAAGAATCCTACCCTCCCACCAAAGCAGGGAGTAGGGAGTGAATAAGAATCACAAAATAGTAAAATAGTAAAGAAAATAGTAAAAAGAAAAATGGTAAAAAGTAGTAGGTAAATAAATAGATCAAACAGAAATCACTCAAAACTAGAGAATACTAGATTTCCTGACGAAGCAGAAAAACCTATATAGCAACAACAAGAAGCAACAAAAAGCAGCAGCAAGGCATTCCCATAGCTGAGGCCCAGCTCGGGATATCAAAAATACAGCTAAAATATAGCTAACCCGTAGCTGAAATATAGCTGAGAGTGGATTAAGTGGATTAGTGGCCATACTGCATAAAGTTTCAAAAATGTAACAGATTTAAAATTAAGAAAATTAAAACAAGTAATTTGGTTTAATCTAGGTTAAAAGCAGAGAGCCTACCCGCCTGCTGCTGCTGCTCATCCCCACCTTGGGGATGTGTCCAACTGGGAGAGTTAGTAATGCAACCCATACATTTGCCACTTATGAAATGCTATCTAAAGTCAATGTTCTCTACTGTTCAATAGTGACATGTAATCAGTATCTTTTATTTGATCACTTGTTTTCTCACATATCAAATATACTAAATGTATGTATCATTTATTTCTATACCCTGTAAAAATTAATCCTCCCCCCATAAACACTTTTGGTTTTGCCTGAAATACTTGTGATTCATATTGTTGGGTAAGAACGAAAAAGCCACTTTTGTAAAAGATGTAAAGCATTTTTCTCTTTCAAAATCAAAGTTCCTTCAGCTTTTTGCAACTCAACGTGCCTGACTTTCTATGTACCTTGTTCAGACATTCCTGTCTGAATGCTTCCTTTTAAAGATTCAAACTAGAACAGGCTTAACTAAAGAAAATAGGTGGAGTAGTATAGAAATAATGTCCTTGCTCCCATTTGTACTTTACAACAGCTCAATCATGTCCTGACATCTATTTTATTTCTTTCCTCCTTGATGTTATCTCAATCTCATTCTAATCTATCATTAAACATCTTAAACATTCGTCAGCTATACCACTATTGGAAGCAAGGTACCTCCATACTGGGTGCATTTTATTTTTTTAACTGTATTGCATTTGTCTCTAATAAATGTTGTCACTTACATTTCTCTAACCAAAGTATTTTAAATTCTATATCTATTTTCTTTCATATCCATTTCTTCTGCACAAACATACTTTTGTACTTTTTCCAGGCTTCCAGAAAATAAGATAGAAAGCGTCCAAAATTTGGAAAAGAAATTGCATTTGTTTTATAGATTGATAACTTCAGGATAATTTAAGTTTCTCACCTCTTTTCCTCTATTGTTCAGAGATTAACGATAAACTTTGAATTAGGTTTTTCTGACTATGTGGTTGATAGAAGAAGGTATTTGTCGCTCAGGGTTGAATGGAGTGGGGGGGGGCCTTGGTGCTCTCTAAGTTGTTTTCTTGCAGATGTTTCGCTTGAGTTTCTATGCATTAATTGAAAATTACCGGAGTTAAATGAATACCATAGTCACCATGTCTCATATTTTATACCTGCCTGCGGATGTTCTGAATAACAACTTATGATAACAATAATGATAACAATTAACAAATGATATCAAATGAAATAAAATTTTATGGCACAAAACTACTTAATCAGTTGGATAAAATATTCTCAAAAATTGTCAGGATTCTGTCAACCTTCAGCAGAAAAATAATGTCGTTAGCTTTTTTAAATAAAAGCAGGTATTTAAAATACGTGCAGTATGCATAACAGGTAGCAATCACATTTCAAGCTCTGTAAAAGCCAAATGCCAAGGGCAGGGGTAAGCAACCTCGGCTCTTTCATGACTCATGGACTTCAACTCCCAGAATTCCTGAGTCAGCATACCATAGCTGGCTCAGGAATTCTGGGAGTTGAAGTCCATGAATCATAAAAGAGCCGAGGTTGCCTACCCCTGGCCAAGGGTGTCAGCGTTCCTAGAACCGTACTTTATCAATGCCTGCTGGCTGATAGGGAACTGCATCCCCCAGGATTCAGTGCGGCATCATTGCTTTTCTACGGTTAGCGCGGTGCTTTTTTTAAAGCTGGTATGGTGAGATGTAGAACGTAGCAATAATATTAACGTCTTAGCTGAGCGATATGAAGTGTGATGATTCTTCAAGTCCGCTATCAGAATCTGAACTGGACCCAGATCCTCTGCATTATCCACCACCTCCTCCTCTGCAATTGCCACATCTGGAGAAACCGCTGCGCCAGGCCTTCTACAATACTGGAGCTCTAGTGCTGGTGGGACTATGCTGTGGGGTGGGAGTACTCATTTATTTTATCCTCGAGGCGTTTTTGCGTCCTCTACTGTGGGCTGTCCTATGCGGCACCTTTTTGCACCCGTTCAAAAGTTCCCTCACGGCATTTGGCCGTCGCTGGCTGCGTCGCCTCCGCCATTCTAACACACCAGTATTTTTGGCTACTTTCTTATTGCCACTGTCTTTTGCTAATGCGGCCGCCGAAACATTGGGTAATGAGATCATGCGGCGCCGTCGGCTTCTTCTCCTTTTGAGTGCAGGAAGTCCCGTTTTGTATGGACTATACTGCGTCGGTACTTCCGTTGGAGTCCAGGTCGCTCTTGAGTATTCCGCCAGCATCATTTGCCGAGGATTAGATTATTTCAGTAGCCATTGGGTAAGTTATAATAAATCTCTTGGAAGTAGTGGCATAGATAGATTTGTTCCGTATAACGAGTTACATATTAACCAACCACTACGTGTGGCCCAGCCTGTTGGTCAGTCCAACCCACGTGAATTAGTATTACGAGTAAATTTCGGAGAAAATTCATAGGTGGGACGCATGCGTGAATATTTTTGAACGAACAAGTTTAACCAGTAGCGACTTGCATTACCTCAAAGTGCAATTTGAACTAAGGTTACCCCTAAACTGTCTGCTAAACTTCAGAATTATTGAGCTGAAAGGCATTAAAAATAACAATGCTTTTTGAAAGTAATGAGAGTTGCATGAGTCTATAGGAAAGAATTGAAAATAATTACTGAGCTTCATTTAAATAATTTCTTGTTATAAATGTAATAGATTAAGCAAGAAACAAATCATAGAAGGAATGAAATGGATTACAGAAAAGTTATATATTGCTCTTTTAAAAGCTGGATTTACAATAGGCATTGTTTTGATTGAAAATATGGATCAAATATAAATGTGCAATAATGCTGTTTCTAGTTTATTATTTTAACCGCTAATTCTAATGTTTTCTTTAATGTAATTTTAATGCTGTCTCTTTTCATAACAATGCTTATATTTTCAGACTGGATGTTCAATGTTAAGGAATATTGTAGTAATACATTTCAGGGACAGACTTCTGGGATTTGTAATAGACTTTGAACTAGAAAAACGTATACCAGCTGTTTTGGTATCAAATGCTTTTCTTGTATTCAATCAAACTATGTACATTTAAGCAAGAAACAAGCAGTCATCATCCCCTTACCAATGATTCATTTCTCTATTTTTTTATCAGTTTAAATCTGTAGAACCAAACATAGATTCATTTGTAAGGCATATGAACAAATAAATAAAAAGGCTATTTTTCAGCAGTGTATAAATCAGATAGAATATTTTTTTAACATTAGGGAGGAATAGAATTGTCCTAACAGGTTGAATCCTAAGTTTAACCCACTTGTACCTTTGAGTCCAGAATAATATGAGTTAATTGATTTTAAAAATCAAAGTAATTATTATTTCATGGCTAACTATTTCAATCTGTTGGGGCAATTCTATTCCTCCCTAATGTTAAAAAAAAATAGAGAAAATTGCAATGTTGCACTGTCTTTTAAAACATTAATCAAGAACACATGCATCATAAGTGATGTGGGAAGCAAAGCAAAGCAACAGCCCAAACCTTACTCCCAATGGGAATTAGCAGCCTATCAAACAGTTTTCCAGTAGTATGTTGCTACCCAGAAACCTGCTGGTCAACCAATTGACTAATTGCTGAGGGTTTATGGAGAACAGCAACATTGGAATCCCTTTTTGAGTTGCTGGATCTTGGCATTAGGCTGTATGGGAATTCCCTTATTACTAGAGGTAAATTGTGCTATTGGCCTAGCTTCAAATAATTTGAATGCTGCAAGTATAGAGTGAACAACTCTTTTATCTTAAGGAATTTAAGAATGGCAATTGTGTTCCTGTGTATATTTTCAATAACATATCCCAAGGGGAATGTGTTATTGAAAATGGCAGAATAAAGGACTATCCCAGATCTTGCTCCATTTTGTGGCCATCAATGCTCCGGGAGTGGCTCTTAAGTCTTTTGGTAGATGCCATGATTTTAGTTTTCTGTTATAATTGTGTTTTAGCTGCTCTTCATTGCAATGTTTGGGGTCAGTGTACTCCTTTCAGGCAAATAGATGTTCTTAAAATTATTGTTGCATCATCCGCAAAGAGCAGAATAGAGGTAGTTTGCAGGAAGTTTTAGGGAGTGAAAGTTTGTGGTTGTGGAGATGGCCCACCATAGAATTTGATAAAGAAATTGAATTAAGAGTGGGCCTGGTATGCAGCTTTTTTGATGCACATGTGAGATAGCCCTAGGTTACATTTTACTTTGAGTGATTTTTCTTCATGTATCATATATTAAATGAAGAAAATGTCAGTCAATCAAGGAAGCTTCCAGCTTTTTCCACAAATAATTCATAATTCAAAATCAAATACTGCTTTGGAATGAATTGAACTAAACTCAAATAATACTTTACATTTTGTGGGCGGAGTTGCTGGGAGAGACTTTTACTATTTAGAAGCTAATTATTACCAATATGCTGATGATACTCAACTATATATATTTTTTCTTACAAGCTCATGGTTGGACATTTCTATGGCCTGATGCTAATGTAGCTCCATGGGTTGCATATTCAGTGAGTTGGACACAATAGGCATACACAGTGTGCAGATGAGCTGGCTTGTGTTCTTATAGAATGGAGTGGAATGGAATGGGAATGGGGAATGGAAAGGAATAGAGAAGGGAATGGAATGGAATATGGAATGGGAATGGAGAATGGGGAACGGTTTGGAATGGAGAATGGAATGGAGAATGGAATGGAGACTGTCCAGTCTCTTCTTAAAATCTCCAGTGATGGAGCAGCCATGATTTCTGGGGGTAAGCTGTTCCACTGGTTGATTATCTTCACTATCAGAAAGTTTCTCTTTAATTCCAAGTTGCTTCTCTCTTTGATCAGTTTCCAACCATTGTTTCTTGTCCTTCCCTCTGGTGCTCTGGTGAACAAAGTGATCCCATCTTCCTTGTGGCAGCCTCTCAAATACTGGAATATTGCTATCATGTCTCCCTTATTTCTTCTTTTCTTTAGACTAGCCCAGGGGTGGGCAACCTCGGCTCTTTTCTGACTCATGGACTTCAAACTCAAGAATAGCTGACTCAGGAATTCTGGGAGTTGAAGTCCATGAGCCATAAAAGAGCCGAGGTTGCCTACCCGTGGACTAGCCAAACCCAAGTCCTGAAGCCGTTCTTTGTATGTTTTAATCTCCAGGCCTTTGATCATCTTAGTTGCTCTTCTCTGAATTTTTTCCAAACTCTCAACATCTTTTTTGTGATATCGTGACCAAAATTGGCTGCAGTATTCCATGTGTGGTCTTACTAGGGTTTTATAAAGCGGTAATAATACTTCATATCATCTTGATTCTGTGCCTCTGTTTATACAGCCCAGGATTGTATTAGCTTTTTTGGTTGCTGCTGCACACTGCTGGCTCATAGTCAAGTGATTGTCCACTAGGACTTCAAGGTCCCTCTCACAGTTACTGTTTTTAAGCCAGGTCTTGCCCAATCTGAACTTGTACCTTTGATTTTTCCTGCCTAAATGTAAAACTTTGCTTTTCTCCACATTGAAACTCATTTTGTTGGATAGAGCCCATTGTTCAAGTTGGTCATGATCTTTTTGGTTCCTGAGTTTGTCTTCTTGGATATTGGTTACTCCTGTCACTTGGTGTCATCTGCAGATTTGATGAGTTCCCCTTCAATTCCCTCATCTAAGTCATTTATGATAATATTGAAGAGTACTGGGTCTTGTAGTACCCCACTGCTTACTTCTCTCCATGTGGATGTAGTGCCATTGAGGACTAATCGTTGAGTACGGTTTGTCAGCCAACTACATATCCATCTGGTGGTGATGTTGTCTATTCCACCTTTTTCTAGTTTACCAAGGAGTACATCCACAGCATTTTGCTGGTCTACTAGTTTAGTCACTTTATCAAAGAATGAAATAACATTGAGTTGGCATGATCTGTTTTAAACAAGCCCGTGCTGGCTACTAGTTATGACTTTGTTTGTTTCTAGTTGTTCGCAGATCTGTTTTTTGATTATTTTTTCTAGGATCTTCCCAGGTATTGATGTTAAACGGATTGGTCTGTAGTTTCCTGGGTCCATTTTTTTTTCCTTTTCTTGAAGATGGAAACCATATCAGCCCTTTCCCAATCCTTAGGTACTTCCCGATGCTCCAGGATTTATGAAAGATGTGGTGCAATGGTTCTGAGATAACAACTGCCAGCTCCTTCAGAACTCTGGGATGTAATCTGTCGGGTCCCGGTGATTTATATTTGTCAAGGTTGGATAGGTGTTCTCTTACCATTTTCTTGCTTATTTTTCTTTCTAATATGCCTTTTGCTGTGACTTTTTTGCGCTATAGTTTCTTTTTGTGTGAAGACTGATGCAAAGTACGAGTTAAGGAGCTCTGCTTTCTCCCTGTTGCCTGTTATTTCCTTGCCATCTTATCTCTTTAGTTGGCCTACAGTTTGTATTTTAAGATGGCCATTATTTTGCCAGTCCCCCAAAAGTCTACAATTACAGGTCTCAATGATTACTGTCCAGCTGCACTTACATCCATTATTACGAAATGTTTTGAGAGGCTGATAAAGGACATTATTGTATCTAGCCTCCTTCTAGCATTTGATTCCCTTCAGTTTGCTTACCATCCAAATTGCTGTACAGAGAATTCTATTTCTTCTCTTCTCCATCTAAGCTTGGTGCACTTAGAGAAAGAAATATCATGTGGAAATGCTATTTGTCGACTTCAGTTCGGCGTTTAATACAATCATTCCTCAGCATCTAAAGACAAACCGAGCCTTTTACACTTTATTATTATTATTTTTTTGCTTTTGAAAACCTTTATTTATTTTTAAATAATTTTTATTACTGTTTTGCATTATACAACTAATACATATTCAGCAAACGGTCATTTTTATATACTTCAGTTCAACATTCTGTACCATATATATACTATATACATTCAATATTTAAATCACAATAGCCTTATGTATAGTTCCAATTTTTGTTTCTATTATCTATCCATGTATACCATTTTCCCCAAACCGCGTAGAATTCTGAATCATCTTTTTCTTTTAGTCCTAGAGTGAGTTTATCCATTTTGGCACAGTCATACAGTATATCTTCTGAATAATCAATCCCTCTGGTGATATATTATGTTCCTTCCAATATTGCGCAAATGCAATTCTTGCTGAAGTTAATATGTGTAGAATCAGATATCTTGTTTTCCTGTCAAATTTCTGTTTAAGTATTCCCAGGAGAAATGTTTCCGGGTTTAGTTCTATTTGGCAATTTGTTAGCTCCTGTGGCCAGCCTTGTATCTTAGTCCAATACTTTTTCACTTCGGGAC